TCAACCACTCATTTCAACTTATCAATTTTGCAAATGTTAATATCAACTTCTTAAAGAGACTGTTTTGATTTAACAAAATCATTACTCAAATTATCAATTTTAAGTTCCAGTGATTTATTAAACAAATTTACCTTCTTATGTTCCTTTTCCATAAAATCAATCTTATGAAGAATATTCAAATTTTTATGGCCAATTTTTTCCAAATTTTTATTAGAGACAGAAACTTCTAACTTATAAATATCTTTATCGAGTTCCGCAAGATTCAATTTCTCTAACAAATTTTCAAAAACCTTTTTGAACTTAGACCACTCAATTTGTATGGTTATGATGGAATCAAAAACAGGAGTTAAAGGCAACACATCAACAACAGATGAATTTTTAGACATTATGCAAAAATCAACAATTAATCAACAAATATGATCTACTCTGTATTTCGAGTAACCCTCTCTGATACCAAATATGAAACAAAAGTTACGCAGGGTGCGGAAGTTATTAATTGATTTTAATTATGATTAACCCATTTAATAACCTAGATCTGATTATTAGTTTAACTTGCCCAATTTGTGATTAATTAAATTACTTAAGCAATATGATCAATTTAAACATCCACAATCACAAATTTAAATACTGTAAAGTAAAGCAAGTAAAAGTTTAGAGAGATTACACTGGGATTTTTAGCGAGGAAACCCCAGTTGATAAAATACGTCGACTATTTGCACGAGAAAAACCTCATGGACTATTCAGTCCAAAGTAAACCGATCAACTATATTTGAAACAAAGTACACCGAACTTTGACTCTAGCTCACACCTTATCATTCTACCAAACACCAATTACTGACAATCCTCTGGCTTTTCGACTCCCCGTCCAACAACAACTTGACCTCAGACTTATGCTTGATATTTGTGGAAGAGTAGCAGGTAGATGAAACAACACTCCTTGAATGCTCTAACCCTTTCAAGGTGTGATCGCTTTTACTTCCGTTCTTCAAGATCTGAACTTAATTGTAAAAGGATTAAATCCTACTTTTCATACGGAATATTTGAATCTTCAATATAGCTCTAATTCCAATGAGATAGAGAACAACACAACTAAATTAATCATAAATATATACGTGTGCTATCAAAAATAAATTCAGAATAATCATATTTGATTTTATGAATTTTCTCCCTCTAAAAGGCTTTCTCAAAATATATAATTGATGTTCCCTAAAACCATGAATAAACCAATGTGTATGACAAGGTTTATATAGAGTTTATAAAGTCCTAATCCCTCTGAAAATATGAAAAATTTCGTGCATAGGACTTAGAAAGAAGTTAGAATCAAAAAGGAAACAATCAGACAAGGTAACTTGGAAACCTGATGCTGCCAGTACTACTTGAACTAGTTCAGAGGGGCTGAACCAGTTCAAGATAACCAGTAAAGAATCCCTCGAATTCTTGAACCGGTTCAGCCCCGTTGAACCGGTTCAAGATGGTTCAAGATTTATCGAGCATGTTCAACATCAGCAGAATAGTCAAAGTTTCAAGACTGGTCATCTTGTTTAAAACCTTTCAAAACCATTCCTAAATGTTCTTACTACCTCTCAAAACTTCTTAGAGCATTGTTCTCATAATCTCGGAGTGTAGTATATCATAAACACTTGAACTTCTTCAAATCTGCATCTGATCTTCAATCTTTTAAATTTTATACCGAAAAATTACAACTCGATCGGACTTGTTTTGTCAACGAAAATAGCCAATTACAAAATATATATCTCACAGACTTGTGCCATTTGGAGTTTGTGGACTTTGGTGAGGATGGATGTAAGGATTTTAGTTAATTGAGATGGTGCAAGTGTGGCTAGAAAAAGTTCATGGGATTGGCTAGGATGAAGTCATGGCATTAAGCATTAATTATATTGATAATGTTATGATGTACTTGTGTATATGAATGTGGTTACAACTATATATTATTGCTAGTGCTATGATGATTTCATCATTGTCCCCGTGGAAGCATGATCCCTTGTCTTGACCTTTTTTTCTTTATGTATCTGCTCACTTGGCTTTAGGAACCATACCTTAGGCACACTCTACTGAGCAGTGGTAGTCACCCCTTTATTTTAAACATTTTCAAGACTTGAAGGGATGAAGAGGATGATACGACTTCACTTTCTTAGTCATGATTAGGGAGTTGTGTTTTGTTGTTTCATGTATTCAAGTTCAATATAAACGAATTTATCTTAATGTAGAATGTATTAATTTGTTCTCACTATGATGTACGATTGTGTTGTTTTTTTATCAATGTATCTATGTTTTAAGGAAGTTTTAATTCACATTCAAGCATACAAGTAAGCCACGAGGGTGTCCAAGGCTTTAGGTACCTCAAAAAGGTTCATTTTTCAGCTTCCAGGGCCTGTCGGCCGACTGGTGATATAAGCCAGCCGATCGACAATGCATTTTTGGATCAGACAGAAAGTAGGGAAGCTTGGGAGGTTGTTTTGCCCGGCTGACCATCACTGTCAGTCGGCTTACCCTCCATTTTTGGCCAGCTAACATATGGTTTCAACCGACCGACGTAACCCAACGCACCAACTTTCACAACCCGACTTGAAATGACCATATCTCCTTCATTTTAACACCAAATTAGGTCAAATTTGAGTCTAATTTCAATATTTTTAAGTCAGATTCCTAATGGGACCAATCTCAGCCACATATTCCATTTATAGAGAGAGTTATGACTATTTTAGTGAGGACTACTCCGAGAGTCTTTAGAACTATGAAGGGCTAATTGGGTAAAAGTCTTGTTCTTGTTTATAGAACCTTACGAAATGGGTTTAAATGACCGTTTAGACTTATGTTGATCTTGTATGACTCACTTAGAGTCTTCTCATTCATTTCCTTACCTTAGTATTGACCATTCTACCCTTGGGTGGTTACGAGTTCGGCTAAGGAGTCGGTTAGTATTTCGGACCCCCGGGTTTGGGTTGTTATAGTAATGCCCACTTCCTTACACCTCCAGTGGTACTTGAAAGAGGGACACAGACCAATAAATTTCTTGATGATCCCTAAGAGAATTTCCATAAGATTACAAAAAGGGAAGGAGGGAGTGGATCTCCTTGCCTTAAGCCCTTAACTCCCTGAAAAAACCCATGAAATTCACTATACACAACAATGGTGAATAAGGGAGATATAATATGTGCTTTAGCCCATTGTATAAGCCTTGGAGGATAGCCAAAAAATTGAAGAGAGTCCAGTATAAAGCCACATCCCATTGTATCAAATGTTTTCTTAATATCTACCTTCCATGGACACCTAGAAGACAATGGTGAATTATGATATCCTCTCATGAGTTACTGTGTTAAAAGGATAGAATAGTAATCCTTTAACCTTGCACAAATGCAGTTTGAGTTGGTTCAATGATGAGTGGTAAGGTGGGCTGCAGTTTAGAGGCAAACAACTTTGTAATACACTTATAGATCACATTATAGCAACTGATAAGTCTATAGTCATTAAGAGAGGTAGGATTTTGACACTTGGGGACTAGAGAAATGTAAGAAGAGTTGAATTGTTTTAGTAGCTTCCCATTTTGAAAAAAATTCTCTAACAACCATAATGATGGATCTTCCAATAACTGGCCATACATGGTGGAAGAAATGACCATTAAATCCATCTGGCCCAGGGGTTTTATCCTTACTGATTGAGATGATACACCGCTGGATCTCAAGGTCAAAAGGATGGCTACAAGTGATTCATGTAAGTGGCTAGGCATTTTTTTACTCACAAAGGATGAGAACATTAATACCATAATGGGTAGGGGGTTTTCTAACAATAGGTTTTTAAAATAAGAAGTATTTCTTCCTTGATCTCACCCTCAGAATCAATGGACCCTGTAGAAGTGGTAAAACTAGTGATCTTTTTTTTATTAGCCCTAGATAGAAAAGACTTATGGAAATAAGGGGTGTTTGAATCCCCAAGTTGAAGTCATGTAACCCTTGATTTTTACCTCATGATATTCTCCTTAGCAAGTAGAAGGTTAGTGTGACAGGTGGGTACTTGCCCATTTATCCAAAAACTTAAGCTATTAAGTAGCGCCGTATACCCACCAATTTCTACCCAATCATTCTCCCATCCAGATCCAATGTGGGACAAATCTCCCCTTGTAACATTCTCCCCCACCTGAACTTGCAATACTCTCGATGTGGTCGGACCACCCTACCTACCCAGGTAACTCACCTGGATGCCTTCCAGGCCAAGTACTTGGCGTGGCACCGAATCAAGGATTGGGTTTTGATTCTGATACCAACTGTAACGGGTGGACGGTTATCCATTTAGTCAAAAATTTAAGTTATTGGATAATACTACATACTCACATATTTATACCTAAATACTTTTTGATCCGAATCCGACGTGGGACAAATCTCCCTTTTGTAACATTTAGCGTCATGAAAAGAGTGAGTTTTCTGAGTCATTCTTCATCACATATGGATATATCCTAATCAGATTTGGCAACAATCTTATGAAAGAGCAACCCTATGGTCGGTCTCTCAACGTGTGACCTACTTGATTCGATTGGATAATCATTTATAATAATGATAATATTAAAAAAAGAAAGAAACAAGGAAGAAAGAATTAAAAAGCAAAAGAAAAAGAAAAAAAAAAAAACACCCCCTGTTTGTATAGTTGCCAATGTCAAGAACATTTTGCTTAGGGGCACCGGCAGGGGATGTCTCGAACCTTTATTTATTTATTATTTTATAAAGGCGTTGTAGGAAGGGATTCCTAGAGTCTTTTGTCACAAGATAAAAATTACAAAACATGGAACATACTTAACCAAATCCACCTGTAAGATTTATCACTTTTTCAAGCATAGATTGCGAATATATTAATTAGTAACAAATAAAAACAACAATTATTATTAGGACAATACTTATCTACTTACTAGTAAGTAGAGTGAAGCTACTTACCTCTATTTGGTCCAATAATAAAATAACACATCACATTTAATAATAAAATAATTCGCACATAAAAATAGTTTATTCAATGATTAATTCAAAAAAGTACAAAAATGTGTGAATTATTTTATTATTAAAGGTGATGTATTATTTTATTGTTGAATTACATAGGAGTGAATAGGTTACCCTTGTGAGTAGAGTAGCTAAGTATTCTCCTTATTATTATTATTATTGTTTTCCATAGCGAAATAAAAACAACATACTTTCATTGGACTAAAAAAGAAGCCAAGCGCTCGATCATATTGATTGCATTCTCAGTCGCCAGATTAAAAACATGAAAAGTATGGTCCTCTCCCTTCACTTCAAACAACTCTATATTTCCTCGCCACCCACTCTCCTTCACAGCATCGTAGTAACAAACACCTCTCTCCCTCAACTCATCCTTCTCAGCCACACACACCAGCAACCTCGAACACCCGAGCCCCGACAAGCTCGGCGCGCCCTCTTTCATCGGATTTATCATCGGGCTGTCTATGCCACCCGGTGCACTAGGATACACAAATGGCCAAACCCTATAAGCCAAACTCTCTTCATGACCACTTCCACTCGGTTCAGACCCAACAGGCTCAGAGCCCCAGAAGTAAGGATGAGAAAGAAATCCTCCTAAGATCCTTATATCGCCGTGCAAACCCTCAACGCCGGCACGCATGGCCACATTGTGAACTATATTACCACCTGCACTGTCACCACCAATGAAAACTTTACTGAAGTCTCCGTGGTTGGTCAACCACGGTTCGTAATTGTCAGGACCCGTCTCACGCTGTGCATGTGAAGCCACCCATTGGAGAGCTTCCCAGCAGTCCTCGTAGGCTGCGGGCAAAGGGTGCTCTGGGGCTAATCTGTACTCGACTGAAACTGCGACAGCTTTAGCCTCGGAGACGATGGCGTTGAGATAATTGTGGTCCAACAAGGAGAAGGCGGATTCGAGACAGAATGCGCCTCCGTGGAAGTAGACTAAGATTGGGAGCTTTTGGTTAGTGGTGGGTTGTGTGAGGTTTGGGAGGAAGAGACGAGCTGAGACGTTGGGTGAGATGGTGATGTCTTTGGATGAGACACCAGTGGCTGGGTCTTGGGGTGATGGTGGGACGTAGGGTGAGCCGAAGAGTCGCTCCACCGCGCCGTCTTTGAAGACTCGGATGACGGGGAGGAGCTCAGTGGCTACTCCTTGGTGTTGGATGCCATGGCAGTGTATGAAAATGAAAGAGAATTGTGTGATTGAACTATGGAGAGAGAGATTGTGTGTTGTGGTGTATAAGTCTCCCTCTATATATCTATTGAAATGAACACAAGGGATGATCATCACCAGGTGCCATTTTTGACCGGCCAGTGCAGGTCCAAAAGCTACCATTATTGTCTACATATGGGTGATGTGATGAGAATTAAATAACATCATAATGTGAAGGTGTGGTTATCCCTAACTGATTCATCCCTATCTAACCAACATTAAATAACATATACTTTTGACCGGCGCTCCACCAGGTTTGCACCATTGGAAGTTGTCGTAAATTGACCGGTTCATAATAAAATAGTGTTCTACTGGAACCTTTTATCTTTGGAATAATTTAATAAATAGTAACTATTTGAACACAGCCACTCCTAAGGATGAGTATCTCGATTTCTGACCAATTGGTTACAGGGATAATTCTAAAAATAAAAAAAAAATGGTGTTTTGATGGTCAAATGTAAAAAAGGTGGAGTTAAATTCAAGTTTTTCAGATTAATGAAATTTTATCAAATGCTGACTTGGACATGAAAGTTTACAGTAGATTTTCTATTAATTCCTAAACTGCCCTGAGGCGAATCTGGGATTGACCTTGAAGGACTAGACTACCCCCTCCTTCTTTCTCAGAAACACTTTGTTCTCAAAGGATTTAGAGAAACCCAAAACATAGTCACTCCACCACTGCCGTTGCCATTCTCCACTCTCCACTCCACCAGTCCCCCTTCTCTCTCTATCTCTCTCCATCATCACCACCATCTAGTGTATACTACAAAAATCTTAACTCTAGGGTCGAATTGAAAAAAACACTAAAAAATGATCAAAAATAAAAATAAATAAATAGAAAACACACAAAAAATTGATCAAAAGAACTTCACCACCACTGATTTGTTGGCCCAACAAAACCACCACCTACCTAACACCAATACTAAATCATTTACCTTCACCTTGCTGGCACGACCTCCTCTCTCACTGTAGCCATCGAAGAACCATATGAGAGTGTGATAACCTCTTTGACAATTTCAGGTAGGGGTTGAAATGCAACTCTATTGAGAATTTCACAGTGGACTCTAGCTTTTAGGGACACGTGTGGGCTTTCAAGAAATGATGCAAATTGTTGTTGTTGTTGCAAATGTGATATTGGGATCTGTGGTGATGATTGGATGGTCTTAGGTATGTGTTTGAGATTTTCAACCATGGGCTCCATGGAAATTTCTTATTAAATGGGTAGTTAGGTCATTTTGTAATAGGGCAGTTTAGGAATTAAAAGAAAATCAACAGTAAATTTCCATATCCAAGTCAACAATTGATAAAACTTCATTAATTTGGAAAATTTGGGTTTGATTCCATCTTTTTGGCATTTGACCACCAAAACACCATTTTTTTTGTAATTATCCCTTGGTTATATATCCTAGGATCAAAATCGTTTGCGGTTCCATCCGCTTACATGGTAAAAAGTAAAAAGGAAAAAGGTAAAAAAAGTGTATTTTTGGAAATATACAACATATATGAATTATACGTATATACGCTGTCATCTTCATTAGCAAAATATTATTATAGGTTTTGAAATTTCAATTAGCCCGCCATTCTTTCCTTCTTTCTACCTTCTTTTCTCCCAAAATAAAATCAGATCGATTTTCATTTGTTTCCAAAACAAGATAGAGTGTCTCATCTCTTTCCCAACTTTTCTTCTTCTTTCCAATTTTATAGGGTTCTTTCAAAATTAACAGGGCAACCGAAACATGGTTTGATTGAATGGCCGGAAAAGGAAACTAATAACAAAAAGAAGACAACGGTACAGTGCACTGTGCGCAATAAATTTGTAGGGACTACAAAGATAAATACATGTAGACATTATAGTCCAAGAATTTAGGGTTTCTTTGTGTCATTATTTCAATGTTTGTAACTGAATTTCTGATGTTAAATTATGTTTCATTATTTTAGTTTTGTTTTGTTATTCCTGAACTCCTATCAATTGGTGAAATAAATTTTTTTTTTTTTTTTTTGTTCTGTCGGTGATATGCATTGGTATTTTTAAGATTATTTTGCGACCCCGTTTATTAATTTCAGAACCCTAACTAATGTGTATTGATGGATTGATTGATTATCTATTGTAAGCCGTATAAGTATATTGATTATTTATTACATATGAATAGGAAATTCTGAAAATTTAATTCGTGATAAATACTACAAAAGAGTAGGGATTTTCTCTATTATACGGAATGGAGCTTTGAACTTGTATTTTAAAATCTTTGAATAAATCTTTCACTGTATTCCTCGAAGGATATATTTTATAGTATTTGTATTGGTAATTGAGAATTATGATTGATAATAATCAATAACTTAATATAGTTGTAATGTTTAGGAAAGTACAAGCCCAAAAAAGTTTGGAAGTGCATGTCTGATTTGGAAAAAGTTAAATCAATAATTTAACATAATTGTAATTTTTATGAAAATGCAATCCCCAAAAAGGTTACAAGTGCATGTCTCAATTGGAAAAAGTTAAATAAATCATTAATTTTGTTATTGTACCAAAATTAAAATATTTGCAGTAGGAACTTGGATCCCTAATTCATTACGTTTGTTCAATAAAGTTAATGGAACAGAAAACTATACCAATTAATAAAATTGTATATATATGCCAAATGTTTGTTCAATATATATATTGTCCATACCTGGAAGATAGTACTTGTTCATTTGTTTTTATATGTTGTAGCTTTCTTATTTGAATCATTCGAATGAAAGATAGAGGAAAGGCTCCTAATATAGGGGCCGATGTCATAAAATGGAAACTAAGATTTGGTATGGAGTTTGAAACCGAGGAAGAGGCATACGTTTTCTATAATTCATAAGGCGGTCAAGTTGATTTTAACATCCGCAAAGACTATTTTAATATAGGCAAGAAGACTGGTAAAATGTCATCGAGATTGTTAACATACAAGAAGGAGGGTTCTAGGGTTAATTAACGATAAATGAGACATTCATACAAAGACTCGCAGGGCCGAAACACGTATTAGTTGCAGTGCTCGAATGCTTATTAAATATTGCAAGTATAAGCAAAAGTTGGTAGTTTTAAATTTTGTTAAAAGCCACAACCATCCGTTGATGATTGATGAATGCAGCCACATGATACCATCCCAATGTAGAATTATCCATGTTTAGGCCATTAATTTGGAATTGACTTTCGATTCAGGAATAACCCCTCGAAATTCATATGAGTTGATGGAAAGGTAAGCTGGTGGAAAAGATTCAGTTGGATACATGAAGTTGGATTTACAAAATCATATAAGAACCCAAAGACAAAATGAGCTTGAATATGGAGAGGCAAGATGGCTTATGAATTATTTTGAGACACATTCTTGTGAAGATCCAACCTTCTTTTATGCATGCCAATTGGATAGTGAACAAATGATCACAAACATATTTTGGGCAGATTAAAAAATGATAGGTGATTATTGTAATTTTAGAGAAGTTGTAAGTTTTGACACAACTTACAAAGTTGTACATGGCAACCATCTATTTGCAAGTTTCTTTGGTTTGAATCATCACTAGGAGACCGCTGTGTTTGGAGTAGCGTTCATGTATGACGAGACTGCGGGTTCGTTTGCTTTTTTGTTTCAAACTTTTTTGAAAACAATGTCTAGTAAAGTGCTAAGGACGATCTTTACTGATCAAGACGTTGCAATGGCAAAGGCATCGACATAGATGATTTTAATTCAAATCTCCACTCTTCTTATTTCTTTTTGCATTGTATAGTTGGCAGTGCTATATGTTAGTACATATTTATACTATTTACTTTTACAGTAAATTATTTTGCAACTGATGCCAGGGACAAAACACTATCTGTGTGGTTGACACCTAATGCAAAATGTACGGAAACATCTAGTGTTCTTGTTAAACGTGCCCAAGGCTTAAAAAAGGTGTTATCAAAATTAATGTTTCAAATTGAGAAGGAGGAGGGAAGATTTTACTAGGGAATGGAATTTAATGATAACGGAAAACGGTCTTATTAGTAACCCATGGATTTCAAATCTGCTAGGTTTGAAACATAGATGGGCATGCCATTTATCAAACATGCCTGGTCTGTGCAGCGCACAACTGAATGAAAGCTTCAATGGTTGCTTGAAGGCCTACTTATCCAGGCAACTGATTCTTCCAGATTTCTTCACACACTTTAAAAGGCTTTTATCTAACAAGCATTACAAAGAGTATGTAACCGAGCATGGGTTGCTCCACACTCTACCGCAATTGAAAACAAAGTGTAATATATTACTAGAAGAGGGAAAGGTGTACACAAATGTTATATTTGAGCTTTTCCAGGACAAGTTTTTAGCAGCTGTTGCCAGTCAGAGTATCATTGGTTGCAATCCCATAAATAGCAATAGAGATCGTGTTTACAAAGTTGTTGGTGAGGATGGGATGCAATGCCACATGACCAAGACATGAAAAGATGAATTGTTATGTTTTTGTTGTAAATTTGAAAGGGAGGGTATTATGTGCAGGCATACTTTGAAAATAATAAAGGACTAGTAAAACTGCTAGAGATAACAGCTTGAAGGAAAATCTTTCCCATGAAGTGATTGCCGATGCGGATCCGAAACTTGAGGTTAAGAGATGGCATAGGGTACTTTGTCATATTATGACAGAAATATCTTCCATTGCATCGAAGGATAATGAGGGATACAATGATTTGTTAGTAAAAGCTGTGGAATGGAAAAAATATGCCCAAACAAGTTGTGGTCATAGGTTTGCTGAGAGGAATGCAATTTATAGTTGTGGTAAAGGCAAAAAGAAAATCTGGGGAGCAACAAAAGCACTAAAATAAATCCCCAATGGCCTCAAGTGCAAAGATACATGTAAAGGAAAATTTAAGAGGTTAAAACTGACCATAGAGCTAAAGAGTCGCAATAAGACGAAATCAATGAAATGAACAGTTCAGGTTGAGGTACTTTTATCCCCTTACTGATTTCCACATAGTTTCATAAGTAATACCATTTATGTCTATTAAATTATGCATACGTAATAAATCTCATAATTGTGTTGTAGAATTTCAATGAAGCCCTTGAATCCGGAGAAGCAGGTGACACTCAAAGTCGAATAATCCCCTACCACCTATTAGTCAATGTCAGTATTGTTGCAACTATAACAATTTTTAGCACTTTGCTTAACATGTTCATTATGGTTAGAAGAAATCCTCTCGTTAAAGGTTTTGCACCATTTTTTTTTTATAAGGTAGTGAAATTCCAGCTGAATTTATGAATGATGAAAGTTAGGTGACGCCACCACAACGTGTAATGAAGAACACAAGGTTTTGCCAACCGCCTTACAACCACCCTATTAATGGTGCTGAAGTAAGTACTCCATTAACTAACCAGACAAGTGTACGTGTTATTAAGGTGGAATAAACATATAAATTGCATGCAAAACACAAGGCATGACTTTATAGCAGTACATTCCTCGTTCTGTGATGAATTGGGTTTTCTCTTCATTCTCTAGACATGGGGATCTAGTTATATTCGGAATATGCGTCCAAAAATGCCAGTCGTTCAAACCTAGTAGTGGCATCTACCATTTGATCTATCTTTTAGAGGGGGTAGCTATCTTTGGGACAAGCCTTGTTCAGATTGGTGAAGTTAATGCACACTTTCCATTTTCTATTCTTTTTCTAAACTACTACCACGTTGGATAACCATTATGGGTAGAGCACTTCTCTTATATTCTCTAGACATAAGGATCTAGTTATATTCGGAATATGCGTCCAAAAATGCCAGTCGTTCAAACCTAGTAGTGGCATCTACCATTTGATCTATCTTTTAGAGGGGGTAGCTATCTTTGGGACAAGCCTTGTTCAGATTGGTGAAGTTAATGCACACTTTCCATTTTCTATTCTTTTTCTAAACTACCACCACGTTGGATAATCATTGTGGGTAGAGCACTTCTCTTATGAACCCTGCCTCTAGGAGATGG